CGTCTTATAATAACACTATTCATAATAGTACTTTCCGGCATAGTATTACTATATGACGTACCATGGTCACTAAGAAATTTGAACAAAACCTAGACACAGTTCACCTAATACTTAATTAGTATATAAATTTATTTAGTCTTAAAACTTTGAACGAGTCTAGACCATAGTACTTCTCAGTAATGGTAAAGAGGTAGCCCTAAGAAGTTGTTTGGGAACATAATACAATATGCTTGACCATTCTAAAAAAAGACCGTAAAGAATAGTTTACATATATCCGTATGTATTAGTTCTAACAACATCTGAAAATCTTAAATCTTATGTCACCCAATCTTATTTTGTTTGTTTGTTTTGCTTATTGCACTTAACTCAGATTTTGAAATCTGATCAGTCAAGTGGAATCTCGGTTAACTTTATTATTTGTCTAAAGCAAGAGCTTTAAATAGTTTTACCAAATTGATACGAAATTCCCATTACAAAATTTTCTTTTGGTACCACATAAATTATCATGCAATATTTGGTTAATTGAAGCAATGATCATTAGTAAATAAAATGTTACCATGACTTAATAAAGATCTGAATTGACTTTCTTTGAATTTTGAAAGAGACTAACAGACTGTTACCAAAAGAACAAAGTAACCAAATTTTGTTCAATGTGGAAACATAAATTGAGTTCCACCTAAAAAGATGGAATAATAAAAGTCTCTCTCAAGTCCAAATAAAATTCAGTCTTTAATGATAAACTAAAAATTTATTGCCTCAACCGTAATTGACTCACCAATGCTCCATATAGATGTGTCTTTCAACATCAATTGGCTTTTGGTGATTCAAACAACCTTGCATAGATACACTTGTGTGAGCAGTGTTACCAGAGTCCACCCACTAAGTATGTCTATAGGTACCAAAATCAAATGAACCTTAAAACAAACATTCTTAAAGTCAAACAGAGAAGTACTATCACAAAATTAACCAATTTTTTTTTTTTTTCAATTTTGCTTCTTTTGTGTTACCGTATACTGCAACTTAATTATCCTTATTTTCCTATTTCTTTATTTTCTAAATGATTTAAACTTAATTGAGTACTTATTCTTTATTTTCCAAATATATATTTATCTATTGCTTTAATCTCCCTTCTTGTACACGATATAAAATGAACTCATTAAGGGTCACTTGTACTTAATAACAGTAAAACTGTTCTTAACCGAATTCCATTGTGTATGAAAGTGATCAACTAATTAACTTTGGTACCTTAAATTTTAATTCGAGATGATACTTTTAAATAATGTATTTTCTTATGTTCCCGCTTTCCTTATACCTTCTGGAAACAAGATCTTTTGAAAGAATACTCGTTCCCGCCTTATTATTTTTGACAAAATACTTTATTGTGGGAACAATTTTGCATTATTCATATAGTGCTCCTTAATTTTCCTTAATGTTTCCTTCTAGTTTACACATTGAAGTGCCCTAATGGAGCTAATAGTGACATCAAAATGTAGTAGCAGTATCAACTATACTGAAATATAACCGAATACAACTCACATTTAAAACTTAATATAACATGATTAATAAAGTCAAATTGGCGTTCCCATTTACAAGATACCTAGTGCAACATTGGGTTTAGTCTTTGGACAGAAACGGCAATTTGCAAGTAGTACTCTTGACGTAGTAATCAAATATTGACAATTAATTCCTGTCAAATAATAAGCCTTTCTTTGGACCGACTTACTATCCACATAGAAAAACCTAATAACTGCCACATATTTATTACCACATATATATATATATATTTTGATTTTGGCCAAATAATGAACTTCCTTTGGGCCGATCATTACCGGCATGAAATCAAAACACACGCAACTGTTATCTTTGTATTTCAAATTAATTAACCAATACAAAAGAGGTCACTTTGGTGACATATTATGTCAATCAATCAACTTAAATAATACTAGATGTCCGAAGATAGGTTTTCTTTTATGCCAAAATTGAGTTCATATCACATTAAACCATAACCCTTAAGGGCAAAACTATAATATTGTTTTCTTTATGCAACTAATAATGTTCGAATGCTTATAGATCAAACAATATAATAATATGCATATTAAAACATTAATATCACATTAGTCTAAAATAAAAAACATTAAGGTTGCCTGTATCCGAATCCTGAAGTGACAAAGTATAAAAAATTAATGAAACTGATTACTTTAACCTTTTTGTCCCTCAATTTTCATCAAGTGCATAAATCTTTTGGTATGTGGCTTTTGATCTGTTGTTGGCTTCTGTATATTCCAACATATGCATGCTTTTACAACTATCACCACGACATAACAAGCACGTGGCAACAACCAAAAACTTAAACAAAATTCTTGCGGCAGTGTTAACCAAAATTTACCATTTGGAAATTAATTCTTTAATCACAAAATCATTTGTAAAGCATGAAACCTAAAGTTGTCCAAATCTTTAGTTTAACAAATAGCAGAAAAGATCCACCCAAAACCAAATGATTCGCTGGAAACTAAAATTGATTCATAATAACTCACAAAACAAACTGATTGACGAAACTGAAGCCAAACGTAAAGCATAAAGGGCAATCGGTACCTAATTGATCAATTTTGTTTTCGAAACGGGATGTTTAAAAACAAAAAGAAAACACCCAAATCTGAGAGGTTTGATTTTGCCTCAAAAAAGATTCTTAATTAGACAAACCATGTGGGACGCAAAATTACAAACCCCAGGATTCAGAATGACTTCAGACTCGTGATACATAAAATATCACGTACAGGACAAATTAAATTGAAACCATAATTGGACCAAAACTGAAGGCCAAATGTATAGCCAAAAACAGCCCTTAATCCACAAAACATTAAAAAGTTGCCCAGCCGAAAAGCCATAACCAATCGAAGCCGAAAAATTACGTCCGAATCTCAAAACTGGACTGAGAATTTGATACCCAAACCCTAATTGACTAATCCAAATAATAATTATTGGAAAAACGTATGACTTCAATATGATAAATCAAGGACTAAATAACCAAAAGAACAGTAAAATCGAAATCATGACCGAAAACAGAATCTGCCAAGACGAACTCTTAATTCCCTTACAAAATCAAAGTTATTAAACCTTATTAACGTAAAACCTAATCTCCTTATGCGCAAAACCTTAATCCGTAAACCAAAAGCACGGAGAGAGAATTTTACGTAACCAAATTAATTTTAAACACAATAAACTCATAAACCGAATTTCCCAATAATTGATATGAAGGGTACTCTGATACCACTTGTTAGAATAATCTAAATACTGTAGAGACCTTCACATTAAATTATTGAGAACTATACGAAAGCGGAAGCGTACATTAATCTGTAGCGGCAAGAATATCGATCTGGTTTGGTCTTCCAGATGATTCCGTCAAGCTCTTGCGGGAACCTCTGACAAATGGGGAGTCGAAGATTTGGCATGACGGCTCATCCGGGGACCACAACCAATATATAGTAGGGTTTCCGGTTCTACCCATCACAGAACAGGAAACTGGGCTTTAGGGTTTCTACACAATATTGGGCCACACTCTAATTTATTATCATAAGTCCAAACTTAAGTATACTTAATTAGATCACTTTAATGGAGCCGGTACTTTAAGATAGCTAATAATATACAATTATATATATTTGTGTATAAAGTACACATAGATCTTACATTCTGATTCAAATCAAAAAAGAACTCCCAAAACCTATATAAAAAAAAAAAAACAAAAAAAAAACACCTCTCATTCCGATTCAAATAGCTGATTATGAATTTGGTGAATCCCGGTGACATGCAGCATCACATGAGGTTCTAAATTTGATGGTGTTGCTGATAATTGGAAGACGGATGACTATGTTTTGGTAGATTATCCGACCATGATATTAGAGGAAGCACTGTAATTACAGCTGGTCAATTTAACTATGATTAGTATCAATAAAAAGTATACTGATAGAATATTTGTTTGGGAAATTTTGTCTCTGAAAATGATATATCCTTTCAATATAAGTTAGTCAGGTTAGAAATTTCAAACATACAAGGAATACTAATCCCTTTTACCCTATTAAAGCAGAAGACATGAAGCTTATGTGGCAACTAGGTATGCATTTGTTTTGGCTCCAATGCACCATATTTCAGATTTCAGAAGTCTTTTTGCCACGTGTAAGTCTCTTTTAATTAGAAGCTATATAATTTTTTTTTTTTTAAAAAAACACATGTTTTACTACAAATAAAGATCAGTTACATTTCAAACGAATGGATATATTAATTCAAATTTAAATGTCTAATCGTATAGTTTTGCAGGCTTAATATAAACAAAAAATAAAAATACCTAAATCCAACAATTAAGAATAATGTCTTATAAACTAATTATTTATTATTCCCTTATAACCTCAGATTTATAGGTATATTTTTTTAAACCCCAAACCATAGCATAAATGATATATACGTCAAATTAATTCCTCAAAAAATAGTAATTCAATTAAATTTTAATAAAATAGTAATTTAGAGGGGGCGCCCGGACAGATGTCTGGGCCAAACATCTAGTCTATCTATTATACCAACAAAGACTGGATCTATTTCGTAACTAGCTAATTCTCCAAACGATAAGTACTCCACATATATGGTTGATTGATTGATTCTTGGTTCAAGTTCAAACACTCTCCTTTACTTATCTACCGAATTTTGAAAGAAAAAAACAAACAAAAGAAAGTGAATAGTAGGCCAAAAAAAAACTTAGATACTGGCCGGACTCTCATTCCGTACGTACGAAGTTACGTACAACATCAAAAACTAGTCTTAGTTATTGTCGAACTGTTAATGCCTAATCTCCAATGCTTGAAAAAGCCATGCAAAATGCAGTCTGAAAAAAGCGGAAGGATCGATGAGAAATAAGAACTGCCGGCCAAATTATGAGCACCATATAAAGACTCGTGTATATTCATATCATTCATCCATCATCTATTTTCCGAATCACTTTCTTCCGGGGCTCTATGGCGGCACATTCCTATTACCCACCCGTAAACCAACCATTTTACCCACCAACCGCCCCGCCACCACCACCACCGCAACCGTTTTATTCATCGGCAGCCCAACCTTATTATTCAACCACTCAGTATTCCTATTCAAACTACCCATACCCGTCTTCGACCCAACAACCCACGTGTTATTACCCACCCGTTTACACAGTCCCACTCCCACCGGTTGTTCCAGCTGAACGTCCAGTTGAAGCTGTTATAACCAACCCGATCACGATAGTCGGGCCCCAATATTGTCTTCCTCGACCCGTTGACTTGATGGTTATCAGGAAACTCATGACTCTAACCAATGATTTCACGGTAAAAGATGTTGCGAAAAATACCATGTTTAAAGTCAAAGGCAAACTCTTGAGCGTTCATGACAAGCGGGTTCTGTTGGATGCTTCTGGGACACCAACCCTTACACTCACCAATAAGGTTCGTATTTTCATTCATTCATTAGTTCTCGGCATAGATAAAAATTCCATTTGATCATCAAAACATTAAAAAAACTAACTTAATCCTGTTTTGAATTTATGTATACATCATGTGTGTACGTTTTTGTTCCGAGTCATTCTTTGTTCTAATGAAACCATAAAAAACATGATTCTTATTCTGAGACGAAACTAAGAGTAGTGATTAAATCAGTTGATGCGTACGTGGATCGCAGATAATGTCAGCCCACAGTAGATGGAAAGTGTACAGGGGTGCAAGCACGCGCTCTGCAGATTTGATATTCAGTGCAAAAACCTCGTCCATCATCCAACTGAAAACTAGGTTAAATGTGTACTTAGCCAACCGGAAATCCGAGGATTTCTGCGATTTTAGGGTCGAAGGAAGCTGGTCAGAGGATTCCAGCGTAGTTTATGTTGGTGAAACTTCCACCATTGCTGCTCAAGTAAGAACTAAGAACATGTAGCTAGTAATTTAATCAAACTCAAGAAAAAAAAAAAATCAAAAATTAAATTCGACACAGACTATTCATTTTAAAATTGTTTTTTTTTCCGTATTCTCAGCATAAACATCTTTCACATTGTTTTACATTTCTAGTTCAAATTTCAAAATATACATTTTATTTTAACATAAAATAATCTACTTATTGACAGAATTAGAGTTTTTCAAAATTTTTGTTTTATGTTCAAAGCGTTTGATAGAAATAACTTAACGCTTTATTATTTATTAGAAGAAGATCATAGAGTGTCATTATTCACTGCAGATGAACAAGGAAGACAATGCTAAAAGTTTCTTTCTAGGGAAGGATACATTCACTGTCACAGTAAAATCAAATGTTGATTATGCATTTGTGGTGTCTCTTATTCTCATCCTCGATTCAATCAGCAGCATCACTTCAAACATATCTACTGTGACTGATTTGCTCGGTTAATGTGACATCGTGTTATCTCAACTTGTTCGTGTTATTTCTATACAGACCAGGTTAATTTTTCTATGTGTTTTGTTTTAGATATTCAATCGGAATGAAAGTAATGATCATTCGGGTTTGCTGGTATTGCAATCTCCACTTGTTACATCTGGTCATGTAATTATAATCATGTTTTTCTATTCTCTTTGTCGGTTTTGGTAGAAGTCAACCTATGATTCTATTTTGTAATCATAAAAACATATGTATATGAAATGAAACTGGTTGATTACGAATTACAATACTACGTTTGGCTTGCTCCTGCGTCTTTACCTCCTAAAATAAATGATACATTGTCGCAATGCCCACTTGCTTCTCGTTATTCCATTGTCAAATTGCAATTAGTTGTAATTGTAACGTACAGACAAACAAAACTTTTTTTAAAAAAACAAAAAGAAAATTAAAGTAAAGTTTTAGCAAATAAGAGGAATTATATTACTGGCTGAACTTTTACCACTTGCGATTCTTAAATCGGGAAAGACTAATGATCAAGTAGATGTATAAATAAATACCAGTCATCCGAATGATCTGTATGTACTCTGTTTGTTGTTCCTTCCAAATCAATAAGTTAATGACTACATCTCATGATAAACGTCATTCGGTCGATCCACATCCATGGTTAGTTGCATATTTTTGGAATATAATTGTTGTTAGAAATCTCTCTCCTCCTCCTCTTCTTCTTCTTCTTCTTCTTCTTTTAGAAAATTTAATTCTAGGTCGTTCTTCTAAGAAAAAAAGGTTAATTCTCACATAAAATAAATTGATTATGTGAAATATATAATAACAACTTTATTTATGGGAGAAAGGAAGTGTGTTTCTTTTTCTTTTTCTTTTTTTGTTAAAACTAAAGAAATTATTGAATGTTTTGTTAAAGAAACTGAGTCGTCGTGTTGACAAAGCAAGAAATGTTATTTGATAGGGTTAATGATTAGTCAATTAGGTCTGAGGTTGACTTGTTGAAACTTGAAAGTGTTTCAAACATATATATGGTTTTGTTTGTTTCTTCACTCATTTTACATTTTAACTCATTTTATCTCTTAAACACAAAACTCAATGTAAAAAAAAACATCATTCAAACAATTTTCTGATTTACATTTTAAATTCTAACTTGAAACACTTTTTATTAGTGTAATGACCATTTTAGAACTACAAATAGTTCAGTGACAAATTTGGCAGGATTTCGTTGTTGAGTGATTGTTTTTGGAAAAATTCTTTTTTGCAGTGACTACAATTGACAATATGTAATTGTCTAGTGATGACTTGTACTTGATATTTCAAAATGTAGTTCAAAATACTTTTTTTTCAAAACCAAAATCCAAACAACATTTTTATTTCCCATTTAGTTTTTAATTTGAAGTACTTTTCACTTTTAAGTGGCAAAATGAAATGTAAGTTGACGTCCAAACAAGCACATATTCTTCTACTTTTCTTTTTCTTTGTTTTTTCCGGCACAAATTGTCATTGTTTTTTCGGTCCTTTTTGTTCTTTTGTTAATTAAAATACTTCAAATAATAAATAAATAAATGATTGATACAAAAGCAGTAAAACTTTGTCTTACATTTAGGACCTGCAACATATTATTCAACTATTCAAAGGATACCACTTGCATAGTAAAGTGCCGCTTACCCAAGTGGTTGATTTCGTACTGACCTAGTTATTTTATTTTATTTTATTTTAGTAACAGTGAAAGATGCATTATTTAAAAAGCGGGTCAGTTAACAAACTAAACCCAAACATGCAAATTACAATTCACTAAAAATGATTCTCTCCCAAACTATCCTCCAAAATATGACAAACTACTAAAATTATCAAGTCAATATTAATTAGAAAAAAAGAATGGGTGGTGCCTAGACCTCTCCTATAAATATAGCACATAAATCCTTAGACAAAGGCAACCAAATTATCTCTACCATATTGCTATAGTAGTCCATAACATCCATCCTTCGTCTCTTATTCTAAATCAATTAACTTCTTCCGGAGCACCATGGCATATCCATATTACCCACCCAGGAACCAACCTTAAACTAACTATCCATCCATCGTAGAGACCGGCACTCCTTGTGCTCAACCAGTTAGTCCATACCCGGTCCAACCCATGTACTATCCATCCGCTTATCCACCCGTTTATGGAATGCCGGCACCAGTAGCGGCTTAAGGTATCAAGGGACATAAAGCGAATTTCGAAATTTAGGCCTTTTTAACATAAAAGAATTAAAAAAAAAGAAAAAAATTAACCTTTCTCGTTATTCATATTTTGGATCGTTAATTACAAATCTGAAAGCTTGTAGTAAGTAAAATTCAGATTTTATAATTTTGGGAACTCTTTTTTAACTCCGCCTACTGTGTATAATAATTTTGAAGTTAAAATTCAAATAAATAATTTTTTTGGTGATAGAGTTTTCTTAAAAATATATATACATATATATGATATTAAAAAATACTAAGAATTAGGGGCCTCTAATAATTAGGGACCTAAAGCGGCGGCTTCACCTACTTTATGGTGAAGCCACCCCTGGTCGGCATCGCCATTGGTCATCCCAACAGAACGTCCGGTTCAGGCTGTAGTGACTAATCCGATCCCGGTAGTCGGGCCACAATATTGTCTTCCTCGACCCGTTGACTTGTTGATTGTCAGAAAACTCATGACTCTGACGGATGATTTCATGGTAACAGATGTCGAAAAGAATACGATGTCAAAGGCAAACTCCTGAGTATTCATGACAAATGGGTTCTCCTAGATGCTGCCGGAAAACCTATCCTTACTATTACCAAGAAGGAAAACCTATCCTTACTCTTACTAAGAAGGTCAAGTGTACTTTTACTCATTATTTCATTTCCTTACATGAAATTTCTTTCATAAAAAGAATAGTACTTCCTCCATCACAAAGCTATTGTCTAGTTTTCATTTTCATTTTTAGTACAAATTGATCAAAAAATGAAAATTTAAATTACAATCATTTTGGGATAGAGAGAGTATAATTTTAGTTCAACAAAGTGCGTACTCTAATTTTGGGACGGAGTAATCGAATTAGTACCGCATGCATGCATGCATGGATGTTTTTCAGATATTATCAGCGCACAGTAGATGGCAAGTGTTCAGGGGCGCAAGCACCCACCCTACAGATTTGATATTCAGTGCAAAAACCTCGTCCATGATTCAAATGAAAACTAAGCTGCATGTGTACTTAGCCAACCGCAAATCTGAGGATTCCTGTGATTCTAGGGTTGAAGGAAGTTAGTCCGATGATGCCTGCAAAATTTATGTTGGTGAAACTGCCACCCTAGCTACTCAAGTAAGTAGTACAAAGGCATTCACTTATGTATTTATATATCCTCATTTAATAATTTCATGTTCGTTCATCCCACAATTAGAGTTATTATAATACATCTTTTGCACCCTCTTTCCTCTAAATAAAAGTAGCATGCGTTATCTAACGAAACAAGACTTTATTTTTATTTTTTTCGGGTTCTTGATCTAGTTTCCAAACAAAAAGATTTTGTTAGAGGGATAAGTGGGAGTTCTTCTCAAAATTATTTTATGCTTAAAACATACTTACATGCACTTTCTGAACATGCATGTTGGTAGATTAATTATAAATTGAGGTATCATTTTAACTTCAGATGAACAAGAAAGACAGCGCTGCAAGTTTCTTTCTGGGGAAGGACACATTCATGGTGACTGTAAATCCAAATGTTGATTATGCATTTGTGGTGTCTCTCATTCTCATCCTTGATGCCATCAACGACAGCAGCCTCACTTCAAACATAACCACTGTGGCTAATTTGGTAGCACGCTGATTATGAATCTCCATCGATTTGTTCGCGTCATCCTAGCACCTGTTGGATGGGAAGGCCATGCTATTTTTCTTGTGTATTGTTTTCATTTTATTGTACGTTTTCTAAGGAACAAACTTTGACTCTATTTGTATCGTTGATATTTTTTGTTTTTCGGTTTGGAGTGTTCTCTTGATGCAATTGAAGTGTAAACATATAGTTATTTTAGTTGATGCAATTGAAATTTCTACATATAAAAAAAAAAGATGATGATTCTTCAATTTAGATTTTTACACTTCAAACATAAATTATATTAAAAGCAAAAATTTAAATTAGACAATCATTTTTTTAAAAAAACTGTACTTACGCGTTTTTTAATGAAAATAATGGCTACGGTTTGCCATTATTGTAATTCATTCTATTGTGATTTTTTTGGGGGGAGAGGTCGGGGTTTGTTTTCATGACTAAAGTCATGCTCTATATATGTACACTCTCTTTCGTATTAATTTGGACATCTCAACAAATGAAACTTCATTTTCAAGATGGATGGAGAATTTTACATTTTTTCTATTGTTGAATATTGCATGTGATGTGCGTACTTTTTTACCTTTCAAATTAAACGATTACATATTTTGTACAATTAAGTTGCGTGTCAACTGAATTGTTTTTGATAAATGTCTTAATAATGTTCTTACCTAGAAGATACTCAAGACTATAATCTATAGCATAGCATTATAGTAAGAGAGAAATCAAAGAATGAAAACAAAAAGAGATTTTTAGAGTGTCACATAGGAAAAAATCCAATGTGAGTTTTTCTCAAAATTTAGGCAAAAAAAAGTTTCAACATTTAACTAATAGTCCCTACAAAAATTAGTTATAGCATATTATATCACATTCACTAAAATAATTATATTAATAATCAACATTAAATCTTATATTAATAATGATAATCATACACATGGTTTTTACCTTTAATAGTCCAGTTCCCGTATTTATTCTTACCATATCAAATAATCCGTTTATGAATATTCAATTTTAATGATAAAATTCCAATAATTCACGGTGATCTTATCAATCAATTATCATTAAATATTCAAAAATCAACTCAAAATGAAACAACATCAAGAAATTACAGTAACCGGCATTACCGTAGCCGATAAGATCAACCATCAAAGAAATTCCAGATTTTATGACAGAAAATATTGAAGAATCATTAAAGAAATTATCATTAAATATTGAAGATTTTATGGCAGGGTTGACTTGGTTGGAGGTACTGTAAGGGTTGTATGGAGTGACTAATGTTTGTAGCTATAATTCTGTTATTTATGGTGGATATTTCCAGCATTTAAAATTTTATCTGAGGTCTAAGAACTAGGAAGAATTCCATTTGAAATGAAGAAGCCTACTTACCTAGTTGAGAAGTTATTTAGAGGAATGATGAAAACTGATGATGTGATGAAGGCAGGCACGAATCTGTATAGCTGGGAACTCTTTTTCTTAGGAGTGATGCATGATTTTCTGTCAGAACATTTAAAGTTGTTTAGAAACTCTTGTACTTGGGAGGGCAGCTGGGAATATCTTCGTGTAATTATTAATAGGCTGCTGGAATATCAAATGGTCTGCTTGAAAGATTTTTTTAATCCCTGGGAAGCCGTGGTGATGACCTTCAAGAGTGGTACTTTCTATGAAATTCTGAGTTGTCTGGATCATTTGCTGTATACTAATTTGAAGACTAATTACGAAGTTTGGATTTGTACGATACATAGGACGGGCGGCGATGATGACCTAGGCTACGGCAGACGGCCTAAAACCTGCAAGACGGAATTTCGGGTGTCTTCCGAGGGTAGACTCTCCGATGCTTAAGTCAATAAGGGAATAAAGAGAGTAGATAGAGAATGATGTGTATCGTGTGTAGAAGGTGTAGAAGATAGGTAAAAGATGTGAATTATGAGAGAGGCACCACCTCTTTATATAGAGGTGGTGTTACTTGTTTCCTGAAACCCTAGCAGAATAGGCTTAGGCGGTGGCTTAATCCCCAAGTAACCTAATCTTAGGCCAATAGGCCTAGGGTTAATTTATGACTCGTCAAGTGCCCCTAGCAAGCTATATTCTCGAGACTTGATGAGAAGAATATGGGTTTGCTACGAGTACGAGTTTGGAGTTTTGAAGGCTTCTCGACTTCTGTAAAGTTGCCCCAGTTCTCGAACATGATGTTGTTGTAAGATGAACAAAAAGGTGATGGTCGACAGAAGATGGTCCTCGAGGGGACAAGGGTCGATGATGACGTGGTCCTCGGAAAGACAAAGGTCGACAAGGAGTGGTCCTCGGAAGGACAATGGTCGACAATAGAAGGTCTTTCCAAAGGACGATCTTCAGGAGGACAATGTTCTATGGAAAAGACAGTCTCTATGAGAGACAATGGTCTGTGAGAGGACGGTCCTTGAATGGATGACGATCTTCAGGAGGACAATGGTCTATGAAAAGACGGTCTCCGTGAGAGACAATGATCCGTGAGAGGACGGTCCTCGAATGGATGAGTAGTCGCTGGAGAAGGGTTCTCGAGAAGACAATGATCGATAAAAGAAGGTCCTCGAAAGAACAATAGTCGATAGGTGATGATCTTCTTGAAAAACATGGTGAATAGCTCGAGATTGTGGATCCTGCCATTTAACTCGATTCCAAGAAGGTAATAGTTAAGTAGATAAAAGTTGAGATACGTTTTCTCGAATATTTCGAGTAGTAGTATGGTGCTCGAGGGATGCTTGCCCCTTCGAGGAGATGTATCTCTCGAAACTTCAATCTTCGAAATTGCCCCTTACTTTGAGGTTAAGGGGGTTAATCTACAAAATTATAAAATCTTTAGGGACCAAATAATTAAAATCATTAGGGATTAAGTGGCAATTATCAAATTGAAGAATTATTCTTGGCTGAATATTCTGCCCCTTTTGACGGATTTTGAACTCTATGGATTGTTCTTCTCGATTAGCTGTGGAAAAAGTGCGGCTCCTTGAATTCTTTGTGAAGACCAAACAAATCGGTCCCACCAAGTGTACCACTTGACGAAACTTGGATTTGTACGGTGCTTAGGACGGGCGGTAATGATGACCTAGGCCGCGGTGGACGGCCTAAAACCTGCAAGACAGAGCCTCGGGTGTCTCCCGAGGGTAGACTCTCTGATGCTTAAGTCAATAAGGGAATAAAGAGAGTAGATAGAGAAGGATGTGTATCGTGTGTAGAAGGTGTAGAAGATAGGTAAAAGATGTGAATTATGAGAGAGGCACCACCTCTTTATATAGAGGTGGTGTTACCTGCTTCCTGAAACCCTAGCGAAATAGGTTTAGGCGGTGGCTTAATCCTCAAATAACCTAATCTTACGCCCAATAGGCCTAGAGTTAATTTATGACTCGTCAACTGAAATTGGAGAGAGAATGAGAAAAAATAGAAGTGCTGAAACTAGGAAGCTATGGAGACCTTGGAGTGAAGTGTTATGACTTAATGGGTTTGATTTTTAGTCGTTTCAGGAAGTCTAAGTCAGAACAAAAGTTTGTCGAGATTTATATAGTTACATGAACAATGAAACTTAATTGGAATGATGATTTTGATTTTGAGCATCTTGATATGTTTCTAGTTGCCAAGAATGATACTGCTGTTGATTACGTTCCTGTTAAGATAGCTATAATTTCCTCTGACCAATTGGTTCAACCAGTTAGCAAGAAAAATTGGTCAACCAGTTAGCAAGAATGATAAGGTTAGTACTGCAGAGGGCAGAATGAAGGTGCACTGCTTTTATATTAAGGGTAGTCATCTAAGCCTTGGTGTATTTGATCCTGGTGAATTCAAAGACAGTTTTACATTAGCTATCTATTTACTGATGAAAGCAAAGACAATTTGCAGTATGTTTGTGACAAAGTGCCTACTCTGTTTGGAAAACACATGTTGAGGAAGCTCTGGATTAAAGAGGCGACTATGTTTAGAGGCGGTACAAGTGATTATGAAGGTAGAATTGTAGCAGAGATAGTAATTGATACAAATTTTATCTGCATGATTGTTTGGCACACTTTGGTAATTTTTGTGGTGGTAATGAGAATTGTTGTTGTGTTGATGATGTTGGAGATGTCATTGTTGAAGGTTTCAGTAACAAATGGTGTTCAGAAATTGCTGGCTAACGGAATGGCATCTGTTGAGGCTTAAAGTTCAATTTATATTTTTTCTCAATTTGTTTAAACTGTTGATCTTAGTAGTAGTAACTCTATATTACAGTCTTGGGGACAAGACTATTTTAAAGGGAGGGGTTTATCACGCCTCTGTACTGAATTGTAGGGGATAGAAAGTAAAAGATAAAATTATCGTTTTAGCAAATAGATGGACTATAAATAATTCACCGTGTCTGTAAAAACATTATCAAAAATTATTGTATTGAATTTGAATTTCCAATTTATCTCCTTCGTTCTTTCCCATTCGAACCCTAATTTTTCTTTAGCCTCCTTCAATTTCTTCATTTTTTGTTTTCCGGTCACTCTCCAAGCCCCCGGATCGTGACAACATGATCACCCACATTGAAGTCCATGTTGAATTGCATTCATCAAAGCCCATTATCAATTAAAATCCAAGCATACTCCCAGCCAAAATTTGGAATTGAATGGCCATTTTTGTACTTGAAGTCCCTTGAGTTCAGACCACCTTAATTCTTCCTTGTTTGAGATTGATTTCTTCTTCAATTCAATCCAAAACTTCAACAATTCTTCATTTGAGTGCAATTCTTACAATTAAAGATAAAATCACTTAAATAACAAGTTCAAAACATTATCAAAATCTTACATAAAGAGATATTAAAAATAGATAAATTATGTGTGCATCAGAATTTCTTTCAATGTTCATTAATCTTAAAGGCTTTTAATTCATGACTCGTGTTAACGTTACGGCTTAAAATACATGATTCTTACTTCGGGACGAAGATAAGAGTTGAGATTAAATTAGTGTATTATTGTAGACTGCACATATTGTCAGTGCATAATAGATGCCAA